ACCCTGTGTTCAAGGGTGAGAACCTGCTAGCAGGAACCTCCTGCCCTGATGCTCAGGTTGGGCTTATCACACTCTGTGGCCCCACGGGAAGTTTACCAAATGCTGCAGCTTTGTCTTCATTGAGATTGGCACGCCATTAACAATGACTTTGCATTTGCTGTGCGGAGTTACTGTCACTTTGCCATCCAAATTTGTGAAAGAAGCATGTTTATCCAAAATTCTGGAAAGACAAATGAGTTGGTCTATGTCACCAGGTAAGTGATAATTTCGGTGAACACTTTAGCTTTTTCTTTCTCACTTTCACAATTAAGTAAGAGCTACGGCTGCTGAACAATGATTTTGAGCATTCACTGGGGTCCTCTTGCATGCAAGGGACAGAGGGACCCTGCCCTAGGGAGCACTGAGAGTTGGGGGGATATGTCGCAATTTATTAATGGAACAAACACCAACTGATTGCCTATAGCTGCAAGGTACCAGGAGACCCAGAAACAGTAGCTAGGGGTCATCAGATACAGTTCAGTGGGATTTGGTGGTGAGGAAACATGCACATATAATAATCACAAAAGTTTGAGAAGACGATCGGCTTGATAATCCACTGTACAGATAAGTTTAGGCATGTTTCTGGGCCTCTGTCTGTATACATTCATGATAAGATTTGGGGCTAGAAGTCAGAGGTGTCATATTGCCTGCCTCTTGTTTGCCCTTTATAACTATTTTAGAACATTCCTAGATTCCTTGGCAGCCTTGAATGCTCTCGATGTTAACATGTCTTTCTATAACCTTTGTTGGCATGGAGACTAGTCTCAGCTTATACTTGGAATTCAATCATTTACAAATGTGACTGTTGGACTTAGAAGAGGCGAGGAGAATTCCAGGAACTATGTGAGAAAACAAACTGGAGGCTGGCAGTGCCGGGGAAGGCAGCACAGGGTGCGTGAGGCAATGCCAACCTGTCCCTCACTCAACACTGTCCTCCTTCGTAGAACCTTCCATAGAATTGTGTGCTTTGACTCGGGGAGACCTAAGCTATATGGGGAGCAGGCCAGGAAGGCCTTGTCTTAAAACAGCTGACCGTATCTTGCTGGCTGGAAGCCTGAGAGC